AAGATGGAGAGACGGAGCTTCGCTCATTCTCCCATCGACGTGACTAAGATCGGGGAAAGCTTCCGGTAGACTGGGATAGGAGAGATTGTCCCGTGTGCATTGGCCTTTTGGATTGAACTTGGGGTTTGGGGCAGGGGACCGGGTGGACGGGGGCTGGTTGACTGACGGGGATTGACTGGCCCTGGGGCCCGGGGGGGGGGGGGGGGGGGGGGGGGGGGGAGTGAAAGTATCACCCGTGGAAATCCGGGGCGGGTAGATACTACCTAGGTAGCAAGCTAGCTAGCAGCAGCCAAGCAGACAGGCAGGGAACAAGCTACCTAGTACTGGTAGTAAGCAAGCAAGACAGCCAGCCAGCCAGCAATCATGGGGAAAACTACGTACTTTGGACTGTACCCCGTCGCTTCGTCTAAGGATATGCAGTGTAATACAATACATGTAAGTATCCGAAACACCTGCATGTCAAAGTCCCTCCAACCCACGGTGCTGAGCTCCAGCACTCCCCCTCAAGCCGGCTCCTGCTCCACCCCGCCCTCGACGGCGAGGACGATCTGGAGCCACCGGATCATCCGACTGGAACAGAAGCCCGCCTCCGGGTCCTCGCATCCCCTGGAGAACGAGCTGCCCACCGTCGTCCTTGAAGCCTTCGCCATCGTTCAACAAATGCGTCCAACTCTTGCGCATCATCGCATAGCATTCTTTCAGGTGCCGAACTCGCTCGAGGTACGCGGGGGAATCAGCCTCCACCTCCACTGTCCCGTGTTCCTGGTCGATTTTGGCCTTCATTTTCCCGTCCAGAATAAGGAAGCTCACGATATCCTGAGCCTCGGGCTCGGTGATACGAATGTGCTTCGTGATGAATTTGAGCGTGAACCGCTTGTACGGTGCGGTCAGCTTCTGCACCGCGCGGACGCGCATGTTCCGGCTGACTTCGTCGATGTTCTCCGCGATGAACGGGTCGGCCAGCACGTCGGCGTTCTTACTGAGGATGTCCTCGTAGACGCGAATGTCGTCCCGTTGGTATGCGTCGACGAGATCGGTCATGGCAGCGATGCGGGGATCGTTCTTGTATGGTTGCGTTTCCTGGGAGTCGAACGGGTTGATGTCCGATTTCATGAGCATCGTCGTCAGCACGAGATACTTGAGCACCTGGATGCGCTGCATGGAGCCCGCCTCATCGTAGTTCCGGAACGACTCGAAGAAGTCGCTCTGCGCCTCCTTCCAGTTCTCCTCGCTCATGTGCATCTTGCCACCGCACTCCCGGATGATGCCCATGATCTTCGGATGCGGCACAGCCGACCGAACGCGTAAAGCCTTTTGGTAGAGCGCCTTGAGCCGCTTGTTGTTCTTCGTCTCGGCATACATCTGGATCTCCAGTGCGTAGAGTTCGAGGAGGTAGGTGCCTTTGCTGGGGTCGTCGCTCCCATCCTCCCGCTGACATGCCCGGTGCAGCTCCCGTACCTTTTTTCTCAGCTGGCTATAGTCCTTGCGCTCGAGCCACAGTCGGGCTAATTTGATGTTGGTCTTCAACCATAATCTCTCGTTGTTGGTGTTCTGGAACGATCGCAGCGTCAAGGAGTAGAATTCTTCCATGCACTGGTATGCCCTTTCGTCATCGGAGCCCTTTTCAATGTAATCCAGCATGTTGTTGATCGATTTCTCCGAGTAATTCCGGGTGACGGCCGACTTGACGTAGGTGAGCAGTTCCCTGTAGTGTTCAACGGCCTGCGCAGTCAGTACTGATCGCACGGAGGGAGGGCGAAGGAGGAATACATCACTGTATCGTCCAAGCTTGAATTCCAACTTGATGGCCTGCTTCAGCCCTTTAAATCCCCTGCGCATAGCTTCGTTATTTTCCCGACTGAATCTGTTTGGTTCGACGTCTGCCTTACCAGTCGCCTTTATCTTGCTCCAGTGCCGGCACTCCTAAGAACTCGTCGATCGCCTCCTCTGGATTGTCTATCTTCACTTGTTTCGCATTGTAGTACTTGTTCTCGATCCCGACATCGCCCGACTCGTCCTCATCTTCATCTTCGTATTCAAAGTCATATCTAAGAGTCGGTCAGCCAAGTGCGACGGCGGGTTGGGTACTGGCACTTACTCCTCGTCACCAGAATCTTGCATGAAATCATCGTCATCCGACATTTTGAAAGACTGAAACGTAGGAGAAACTTTCGCTAAAGGAATAATAGGAATAGCTGATTAAAGCATCAAGGAGAAGGGATGGGAGATGCAGTGGTTGTTGACCCGTGACGCAGTGAGAGAGGAATGGGATAAATGGATGGATGGGATGGACCCAATCGAACCAATGATGGAGGTGCCGTCCGCGCCTATCGGAGAGGTCGGTTTGACCTTCCCCGCCTTCCAATTTGGAGTCAATTTCCAGTCACGGGCACTTTCAAGGTGTCAGGTCCTTCATACTGCATGGGGCTGAACACAACAGTTTCTTGGGTGTTGCACCAACGGTTGAGCAGGCTGCTACTTACACTTCTACTAGGTGGCTATGCATGACAAGGCCACCAGTTACTCTACTGCGGTGGATGAAATCCCAGCCTTGTTTTCCGTGTACGAGTTCATAGAAGCCTATCCCGCAATATTTCACCAGAATATATATAGAAGTAGTCGACCTTGACTACCAATGGAGCACAATCCTTCCAAGTGGATACGATCAGCATGCCTCAGTCCGAGACAGGCTTTTTCTTAGTATCAACCAGTTATGATTCTGGGCAACACGATACTCCTACATAGAGTACTGCCCTGTACAGTACAGCGCAGAGTCTAAGTGCTAATGTACAGTAGTATCCTTGAAGCAATTGACCAAAGTGTCCATGTACTACTGCATGTAGAAAAGGAGGCAAACGGCCTCACTAAACTCATGATCGACACGCTTCAGAGCTGCAGCAACGGCCACCATATCATATTCTCTCCGCCACATTGAAGAATTCCAGCGGTACTCCGTAGTTGGCAGATGAAGATCGGCTCATTCGTGGAGCCTCCGATGACATCTGCTGCTGCTGCTGCTGCTGCGCTGCAACTCCGCCGCCTAGCCATGACTCGCGCCCCGTCAATAATCAGTTACTAAGTAATTCTTCCTCTTCACTCTCTTCTACTTCGTGTTCGCATCCAACTAAACCTTTCGTCACAACCACCTCGTGAAACCTCATCATTTCCTATTATTCAAGTTTCGCCTGCCTAGGATAATAATTTCCTTCTGACCCAGACGCAAACAACCTTACGTCCATCCATCCATACATCCAATCTCCGCTCGCTCGCCACTGTCGAACCCCGTTCCCCGATCTAGAACCTCCCCCCCTCTCCCATCTCTCTCCTCCACCCCCCTTCCCTCCCTTATCTTCGCCGGGACCCTTCGACCCTTTCCCCCCTTGCGATTCCTCCACCAACACCGAATTCTTACTGCCACCATCACAATGAGTCTCTGTGGGCGTCAAAAAGTCGTGCGCCGGAAGATGGTGCTCTTGTCAGTGCAATCTAGAACCTATCGGTCGGCCAGCTGGGAACTTGAAGAGCTGACTTCCTAGATAAGAGGAGACGGTGCTTGCGGAAAGACCTCGGCTTTGAATGTATTCACTAGAGGGTTTGGCCATCTGATTTACCCCCTGTTTTCTCCCAACCGAACTAACATCCTCCCACTCTAGATATTTCCCCACGGTCTAGTGAGACACCTGCTTTGCGCTTATGCTTGTTTGCGATTGATTTATTGACCGCAGCATGGACTGCATAGTGAACCCACCGTCTTCGGTACGCATTGGCTGTTCCTCCCTCCCTTGAGATGATAGGCTCGCTAATGTGTCATTGAAAATTAGAGAACTATGTACATGGTACTGTCCCTCCCCGCCCGATATCGGCCTTGGCCACTCCTATATACTCATTATCCTGCCAACAGACATCTTCGTCGACAATGTACATATGGAACTGTCGCTCTGGGACACCGCGGGCCAGGAAGAGTTCGACCGATTGCGCGCGCTTTCATACGAGGATACGCATGTGATCATGCTCTGCTTCAGCGTAAGGAGGATCGATGCGACCGGCTTTGTGTTGCGATTTTGACCCCGTACTAGGTCGACAGTCGCGATTCGTTCGAGAACGTGGCCAGCAAATGGATCGAGGAGATTTCCGAGAACTGCCCCAGCGTGAAGCTGGTCCTCACGGCGCTGAAATGTGACCTGAGAAAGGACGAGTTCCTAAACGACAACCCCAACGCCATTGCCTACGAAGAAGGCCTTGCGAAGGCCAAAGAGATCGGTGCCGTCAAGTATCTGGGTACGGAGTCTTTTACTTTGTGCGAGGTTCAGGCTTTGCTGACAGATGACCTGCAGAATGCTCCGCCGTGCAGAACCGTGGCATCATGGAAACATTCTACGAGGCAGCTAAGGTGGCCCTGGAAGTGAAAACTCAGGGGTCGAACGGCTCCGGGGATCGGTGTATCATTCTGTAGACCTGATGGGTCTCGTTCGCTCTTTGCTTCTGTTCCTTTATTATTATACCCGTTCTCAATATTCCCCCCTATGGTTCGAACAAAACCGACCTGGATCAGTTGCCCTGGATACGTGCCTGCAGTTCGGGGATTGGAGGATCTTGTGTGAACCTTCGAAAGACCTTGTTTCGCCGCAAATTCAGCCAGTCGTACTTTGCATGTGATCGCCCTATGTCTGTTTTCTCTATATATACTTCTCTTTCTTCCACACACACCGCCTTCATATTAACCGTGTACACTTATTGTCTTGATTTCATGTCCCCTGAAGCCTTTGTATTCTGGAAAGCATGCAAGACAAGTCTGGTGGGAGAGATGTTCAAGGCAGATACTCACATCATCATTATATCTCATCCGCATCGTCGCAAGTCCCATCCATATCGTGGTATCGTCCTAAGCATAGATCGAGAAACAAATTCTTGAGTACGAGTATTGATACGATATCTAATCTAATTTTCCCTGGGAAATCGCCCTCAACCCAGGGCTTTTCACCCTTTTACCCATATACTCCCTACTCCCTCAACAAATCCTCCTCACTAACCGAATAAACCTCCTCAATCCCCTCCCCCTTCCCCTTCCCGCCCTGCGCCGCAAAATCGCGATTCACGCGCCGCACAAACGCCTGGACAAACCGGCCCGCCACCGCCGGGATATCCGCCTGCACGCCGAGACCCGCCAGACTGGTGGCCTCGCGCCCTTCCAGCCCGCACGCCACGATCTGCCGGAACCACCACATGGGCTCCTGGGTGACGTTGAACCCGATGCCGAAGCTACTGATGTTCCGCCGCAGATGCACCCCGACCGCCGTGATCTTGTGGGGTAGCTGCTGCGCCGCAGTATCATCTCCGTTCCCGTATTGGCTGGGTAGCGGTGAGGGCGAGGAGGGCGGCTGCACCCATACGCCCGGATCCTCGGTCACCAAGCCCCGCACCCCGTACGAGGCCAGCACGTCGATCACGCTGTTCTCCAGGAGGCGGATGTGGCAGCGCGGGGTCAGCCCCAGGCGCCGCAGGTCGAGGATCGTGTACGCGACCATCTGGCCCGGGCCGTGGTAGGTGGTCTGTCCGCCGCGGAGGGTGGGGTGGTATTCTGCTTTCCCTGGGGGTTGGTCCTGGGAAGACGGGTAGGGCGTGGGCGGGATGAGGAGGGAGCGGATTTGTTCGAGGGGTGGGGGGAGGGAGAGCGTGGTGTGGCTTTGGGATTCATTTGATGTGGAGGGCGAGGGTGAGGGTGTAGCGGCGGCGGTCGTGTCGCGCGGGCTGGTGTTCGAGGGCGGGAGGTCGCGGCGGCCGGTCGTGTAGACGGGGTGCGGGGTGAAGGTGATGATTGTTGGGTCCGGGGGCGGTGGCAGCGGGGAGGCGGTGTCGTTCGCCGCGGAGAGGGCTTTCTTGTGCGTGAGGAGGCGCGTGGTGAGGGTTTGTTGGAGGTGGGAGATGCGCGTGAAGGAGGTTAGGTCCGGGTAGTGGATGTGGGCGAGGCGCATTTTGGATTGTCTTTGTGGGGGTCCGTGTGATGGGGGTGCTGGATTGTGGGTGTTTTTAGGGGGTATGGCAGGAGTTGCTCATAGCGTTGACGGTTGATGGTTGGGAGAAGGGCAATTGGGTTGTGGAAAGGTAATTGAGGTTGGAGGAGGGGAGCTGAAGATGACGGTTTGCGCGGGCGGATTAAGCTTGAGCGGGATGGACGTCACCGCGGAAAACTACCTAAGTGGTTTAGGACGGAGTCGGTGGGAGAGTTAACTTGGCCGCCGCTTGCTGGCCGGACGATCATGTGATGACAGCTATTTTAAAGCTGGACTATATTCATGGCCTGAAAGCTGAAATCCCTATGTATAAACATGTTGGTTTTTCATGATACGCAGATGTAGTCACTAGACTTTTGGACACATGCCCCCAAACCACTGATATGGACATGATATGGTTTGGACAGAGTATACAATGCGGCATTTGTATTGGTCGAGACAATTGAGACAAAAAGTACTGGAGCTCAAAATCATGCAGGCGCAACTCCGTTGACCAAGGACTCCTGCGACTCGCCTTCGCGAACCAATTGCCAATCACGCACTCCTCCCTTCCAGTCCGCAATACGTCCCTCGCGCACCTGCACAGTCACTACCCGCACATCACTGTCAATCGAGATGCTCGGCCTTCTTGCTCCCGGCTGTTGTTGGACCTGCTGTCCGAACGTGCCGATCTCCTCCTCGAAAGTGTTGTTCTCCAAGTGCTGTGTCTTGCACCATTCCTCCTCCTCCGAACCAGGCTCCAGAACCCGGGCAGTACCGGCAATTGTCGTGGAGATGCTCGACAGCGCACTCGTGTTCAGATTCAGCAGTAGGCTAGCCAAGGATGAGCGGGTGGCTGCGGGTGGCGGAGAGCCCTCTCGGTCACCCCCGGGGTGGGGTGCGCGCGTAGGAGGACGGTGGGAGACCCAGTCGTGGACCAAAAGGGAGACACGAGGATTTGTCAGAATCTGGTTGGTCTTGCGAGACGATGGGTTGGTGGTCATGATAATCGTGGGGTATGGGTCGAACGGGGTGGAGGGTAGGTAGGTGTATGACATGAGGGAGATGTGGGGGGTCATGCCATCGGTGGTTGCAAGATGAAGCTAGGGAGAGAGATTAGAGAGTGACCGTGAGTCTGAGCCTACAGCTAGCAAGCACTTACAAAGCGTGAGTTCTTGAGGCTGGAGACCACCTCCGTAGGCAAGGTGCTGGCGACATGCGGGTGGCAGGTCGAGGCGGACGCCTCGTACGAAAGGGGAGGATTGTTGGGGTCTGCCATGATGATTGTTGAAGATGTACGTTTTCTCAAAACCCTTCCTGTATTGGTTGTGATACGTGCCTCTCAGTATACACTGTGAACTGATCAAGAGCAGCTGAGAATGGCGGCAGCGCAAGTGGAGGGGCTGCGGAAGCCAGAGCAGCTCACTATCACTCACTAATCCAGATTGGGGATGAGCGGTTGAGCGCGGATCACCAGGCGGGCCGAGTCGATTACCTAACACCCGTTGCTTGTCTGGCAACGCTCGCTTGCCGTCGACGTCATCGAGATCGAGCTCTGTTTTGATCTGATGATTCGGTGCTTATGGAGATTGTGCCTGGGGCAAAATAGCTGCTAATTGCTAGGTGCTGGAGACACAATGATGAAGTTTTACCCGTTCAGACTGATAGGGCAAAAGGAGCTGGAGGTGCCACTTGTTTCGTCATGGTGGTCTCAGCCATCGAGCGATAATACTCGTTGTTGGCCTGAAGATCGCGGCAGAGTCCAGACGGTGACGAATCATCCGCAACTCTTCCGTTATCAGGAGAGCTCCTCCTCCAGATCCTTTTCGGCAGGATGAGCGGATGCAGGGCCTAGGATCACTCGGTCATATGGATTACTTCACTGGGGCCGAGCTTGGTGATACCTACTACTCACCTTATAAGAACAGGTGATGACTGGCAATACTATTACCCAAGTAATCTATCAGTCACCCACAGTTAGCACTACTGGCCAATTTCCCCGCACTTTGCTCCGTAACTAGTAGTGACGGTCGACTTTCCCCAGCTTCCAAAAACACACACCTACGGTACTTCGGGGGTACCTCTCAGCTTTTCAGCTCTCGCCCTCCGCTCCTCTTCTTCTTCACCTCCTCTTCCACACTCACGCCTCTTACCTCTCAACCAGTGTCATTTGATCCCTCACCACCACCACCACCAATAATTACCCCGGCCCAATTCTACCAACCAGTATCATCCTGATCCCCAGGATTAATGCTACTCCGCCCCCGGACAATTCCACCAGTTCCTCTTTGCTGCTAATCCTGGCCTCCAACGCTTGCTACCCGACTGGTTCTCAGCGATACTTCCTGCCGTGCTCTTTCCTCTCAGCCATTTGGTCAGGTCACTAAGTTGTCGCGTGCTGGCCTCGATATATCCCTGTCCTCTTGTGTCTCAGCATCTGTGGTTTCCCCTCCCTACTTATTAAACCCCTCTCCTGCAATCCTCCTCTGTTGCCTTCACTGCTCTGTGCTTGGGTTGATCATACGGTTGACCCTTCCTTTGCCAGCGTCTTTTCACCCACCATTGTTTCTATTTGTTTCCAGTCGGATTTCTGGCCTTTAGGCAGCTGCTTGTCGTAAACGCATAAGCCATGTTCGCACAACGCATGGTCCGTCCAGCTTCTGTGCTGGCTCGCCCCTTCAGTTCCTCTGTTGCTGCCTTCCGTGCCCCTTCCATCCGTGACCTCACCCCCGACTCGGCTGCTGAGTTTAACGCACGGCAAAAGGAGTTTCGCGAGAACCTGGAGGTGTCTCGCAAGAAGAGAGAACAGCAAGAGAGTCAGTCTGTCGATGCTTCTGCTTCTTCCTCTGCATCATCCCCTTCAATTCGTGATCGCTTCCGTGAGTACGCTACCGCTCCCACTGCTCCGCTCGAGAGCAATGGAAGCTGTAACAACAGCCCCGACCTTGAAGCTGCAGACGTACCTGTTGAGAAGGCATTGGGCTCACTCTCTGTTTATCATAAACTAGAAGACGAACAGCTGCTGGAATCTAGCCAGTCTCCGAAGCGCGGTCCGCTGTCGTCACTCATCTACGGAACGAAGGAAGGCCAGCAGCTCGACAAGGACATCGAACGGTCGTTCTCGCAAGTGCTCGCCCGCGGCAAATACGTCCATTCCATTGTCTTCCACGATGTCAAGCCCGACAAAGTCGATGAATATGTCAACCTCGTTGGCCAGTGGTATCCTCGCATGGCGACCGACCCTGAGAACAGGGTCAACTTAGTCGGCAGTTGGCGTACCCAAGTCGGCGATAACGACACCTTTGGTATATATAACAGCCGACCGTTCTTAATGGTGCTGGTCCAAGTTTGCGTACTAACAGCTCGATTACAGTCCACATCTGGGAATACCAGCGATACGAAGGTTACCACGCATCCTTGCATAATATCGCCTCTCATCCCGAGTTCGAAGCCTTTGACCGGAAGCTGAAGAGCTTGATCAAAAGCAAGAAGACGTCGCTCATGCAGGAGTTTTCCTTCTGGCCCACAACCCCTCCTCGACGCCTCGGTGGCCTGTTCGAACTTCGTTCATATACTCTTCACCCTGGGAACCTCTTGGAATGGGAGACACATTGGCGTCGCGGCCTCACCGCTCGCCGAGAGGTCATGGAGGGAGTCGGTGCTTGGTTTGTACAGATTGGAGACTTGAACACAGTGCACCATCTCTGGCAATTCGCCAACCTGGAGGAGCGGAAGATTCGCCGCGAACAGTCCTGGGGCATTGAAGGCTGGGCGGAGACGGTGCACAAGACCGTCCCGTTGATCCAGAGCATGCAGAGTCGGATCTTGATCCCGATGCCGTGGAGCCCTGTCGGCTAAAGAGATTGGGTAGGCTGCGGGGAAGAAGGATCGGTGATCACAAGACAGAACCGTCCGAGCGAACTAGCCAAGTATGCAGAACCGACCAGGTTGCGGGCTTCCTTTGCAATCCATGCACCATGGATCAGGACAGGGCAGGAGGGCGAGGATCCAAACCGCCAGTGAGCGGTTCGACAGAAGGAGCGTGGGGCAACCCAGCTTTGTCCTTTCTTCCACAAATCCTGGAACTGAGGGAGTCCTTGACCTCGTTGGTCTTTATCCACACATTCCCTTAACCGGCCCCACGGTGTATCGTACCTGAATTAGCATATATTGAAACTGTGTTCTTTGCTCTTCTTTGTTCTGAATCTTCTAGTCGTACATCTTTTCTCTATTTTCTCTATGTTTCTTGTAGTCTAATTATTGTTGAGGCGACCTAAGAACTTTAGGGTCAAAGATGGGCCGAACATCAAGTCGCGGCCCATGGTCCCGCTTTGTTGTGCTAGCGGAGCTAGCGTAATTGAGTCCATCCCCGCTCTGTACGCGACCGAGTCACGGTGTCGAGTTGGGTGTCAAATGTTACCTCGGGTCGAATGACGACTCGGCGAGGGAGAAGACTGGTGGTATCCTCTAAGCAACCCCACCTTGGGGGGACATAGGTCATTTCGGTTGACGACGATCTAAGCCCCGGACGGCACAAGGAAGAATGCCAGAATGAGTGATGCATGGTGCTTTGTCCTAGTGAAGTCATATTAAACCACTGAACCAGCAAATCAAAGATACAGCTGCACGTGCGCCACTTCGCCAAGGGATCGAATCTTTCGACGATGTGCGGTGAGGTTCTTTCTCTGCGAGTCTGCAGCCCTAGAGAGGTGTAGGAAGTGTTGAATGTTGACTGGCTGTCCTCCCCTCCTCCCCGCCTTTCCATCAAGCATCTTTTCCGCCGGCAGAAAAAAAAGAGGGTCGTTGGGAAAACAAAACAACCAAGGAAAAATTCATGGTTGAAAAGCGAACAACATCATCGTCTGCTTTTTATTCTTCTTCCTTCGGCACCTCTCTTTGTCCTAGCCCTTTTCCTTTTCTTTTTTTTTTTTTAATTTTATTTTTCATCTTTCATATTACATTTTCAGATCGACTTCCAGTTCTTTTCGAAGTTGATTCTTATTCCGACGTCCTCCCTCCCTTCCTACTTCCGGGACATCTGGATATTCTGACATCAATCTTAATTTGCCGCCTAATAGGCTTCCTTTTCCGCGCGTGAAGAATAACAAGGGCAAAACATACTCGAGCCTTTCACATCCTACAGTTGATTCATCGGACGTACCGTATCGATTCTTGTAGTTCGAAGGGATAAAGTCCAGCTTGCATCAATCGCCAGCACCACCAGGCAAGATGGTGTACATACGCCAGCACGAACTGCCCGCTCTGCGGCAGTATCGCTATGCAGGAGTGGACCACTCGCTCGTCAGTCGTTATGTTCTGAAGCCCTTTTACAATGATTTTGTCATTAAGTTCTTTCCGATGAGCATGGCGTAAGTAGTTGTTCATGTTGTTCTCACCGGCTGCATACCTCTTGCTAACGACCTCTTCCCTCGGCCTTAGTCCTAATGCTGTAAGTTATCTGGCCTGATCGTTCTGCAGCTGGAACGAGACATAATAACGGGGGACCGGCAGATCACCTTGACCGGCTTCTTCTTCGTGGTAGTCAACTTTATCACCATCCTATGGTACAACCCGACCCTAGACCAGGACTGCCCTTCCTGGGTCTATGCCAGTTGCGCCCTCGGGTTGTTTCTCTATCAGACGTTCGACGGTGTAGACGGCATCCAAGCGTATGAACAAGCCCCTCGCGCCTTCTTTCTACTGGTAGAAAGGACACTAAATGGAACAACGCAGGCGGAGAACAAAGCAAAGCGGCCCTCTGGGGGAGCTGTTTGATCACAGTAAGTCGGAAGATCTAAGCTTGTATGAAAAGCGAGTATGGAACCTAAGTGCTTTCCCCCAGGTGTCGATGCTTGCAACACCGCCTTGGGAGTTCTGATCTTCTGTGCGGCTATGAACCTCGGCCAATCATGGTCTACGATCCTGACTCTTTTTGGATGTATGTGCTTTGCTCCAATGGGGAGTGAGCCGCTGAGATGCTGACATGGTAGCAGCGACTATGACTTTCTATGTCCAGACCTGGGACGAGTACTACACCCAGGTACTGACCCTAGGAATTATCTCCGGCCCCGTTGAGGGCGTTCTCACTCTCTGCGTGGTGTTTGGGTTTACCGCATACATGGGTGGTGGCAGCTTCTGGCACCGGCCCATGCTGGAGACTATCGGACTCCCCAAGCCAGACTTCCTGCCAGACCAGCTTTATGGAATGGCCTTCACGCAGTGGTACATGGTTTATGGCGCGGTTCTCCTCTTCTTCGCCACGGGTTCCAGCATCGTGCATGTCATGAAGATTCGCAGCGAGCGTGGCCAAGACCCCATCAAGCCTCTCTTCGGCCTCCTTCCGCTTGTGGCTGTGTGGACCTTTGTTCCGGCCTACCTCTATCTTCAGCCGACCATCCTGGAAAACTACGCCATCCCATTCTGTTTGTACGTTGGCCTGGTCAACGCGTATGCGGTGGGCAGAATGATCATCGCGCATTTGACCAAAACCAGTTTCCCATACTTCAACATGCTCCTAGTGCCTCTCGCCCTGGCTACCATTGACAGTGTTGGCGACAAGTACGGATGCTGGTCGAGCTTGCTTGGCGGTGAGGTTGGCCAGGCTGCTTTCCTGTGGGTGTGTTTGGGTTTGTCGATCGGCGTGTATGGTAGTTTCGTGGTGAGTATTGACAATTCTTCCGGTGGATGAACAGGCGCTAATCGTATCCAGCATGATATCATCACGACGATATGTGACTACATCGACATCTGGTGCTTGACTATCAAGCACCCGCACCCGCGTGTGGAGGTGGTTGTGACAAACGGAGCCCCAAAGAAAACGAACTAGAGTAGCGCATATTGGTGTCGCATGACGGGAAGTAATATCTCGACGGAGGAGTGGCTTGCGGTGTATGATAGAGACGATGTTATTCGAGCGTTAGGTGGCGAAGTCAACTTAGTATGCATGGAGGTGCCATTGGATAATGATGTCGTGAGTGTTGTGCCGGGGATGGATGTGTCGGGTACATGTCGCCCGGACGAAGCATTGTTTAGTCATGAGTTAAGAGTCAAGCAGCGTATATCATTCTTATCAGCGAATCCTGTCCAGCCAGTATCGAGTACGCCGATATGCATCTGTATAGAAGAATGACCGAAGGACCTTGAAGGACATGGTAGGATCTCGAAAGCTGAGATAAGCGCGCGACGATTGGCGGAGAGGGCGGGCGGCACGGGGTGAACAGACGGGCCGGGCCCCCCAGCTGCCTGAAGCGGCAGGGTAAGCGAGAGGGTTGCAACCCTATTTTGCCCCCAAACGGGCTGGCTGGGTGACGCCGTCGAGAATTCCCTTCAATCCTCGCCCTCTCTACGAGTCCACCTTTTTGCTTTCACCCTCAAGCAGGCCATCATCATCAGCGCTTCATTCAACCTCCCTCGCTGATCGACTTTTTGTCTCGTCAAGATGGTAGGTCCCTACCCTTCCTGGAGCCCTCTCGATACACCACGCAACACATCCCCATGTCCGGCAAGCACACCGGCTGCACCGACTGTCATGTCGCTATCCCCTCAGTGCCTTAACGTCGCCGTCGCCACCTTATCGCCGAACCATCGAAATTTTTTTTTTCTCGAACGGACTTGGTCAAGGAACACTTTCGCTAACAGGATGATACATCAATAGGTTCTCGCGGTCGACCTCCTCAACCCCACGCCTCAGGCTGAGGCCCGCAAGCACAAGCTCAAGGTATGATGATACCCGGGTGGAAATGGAAAAAGATGGATTTGATATTCCGAAATCGAACTCTTGGCTAAGACATTCGGCAAAACAACAGCAACTTGTGCCTGCTCCCCGCTCCTTCTTCATGGACGTCAAGTGCCCCGGCTGCTTCACCATCACCACCGTCTTCTCCCACGCCCAGACTGTCGTCGTCTGCGCCGGTTGCTCCACCGTCCTGTGCCAGCCCACCGGTGGTAAGGCCCGTCTCACTGAGGGCTGCTCTTTCCGCCGCAAGTAAATGTATCGATAATCGCGCGCAATAAAAACCTCCCGTGGTCGGAGCGATGATGAAAGCAATGTGGCGTTCTTCGATGATGATGGATTAATATATCTCGTTTTTTCTTTGAAGGAAAGCAAGATTTCAGATAGAAGATGGAATCCTCGCCCCCCTTTCTTGTGCGAGAAGCAGTCCCCCCCGCAGAGAACCCTCCCTTACCCAAGGGAAATGAAAAAAAGACAATTTTTGATCAGACATACCCATTTCTTTTTTTCCATACTTCAGAAAACAAAAGCAATTCTTCGGTTTTATCACTTTTGCTTTCTTCCCTATTCTCTGTTCACGTTCACAAGAGGGGCGTTCCGGATATCTGGCAACTACGAATCAAAAGAGACACTACAGTTTGACAACCATGATTCGGTCCTCGAGAGACAAATTCCTTCTCCAGTTTCTATTGCCATTTATCTGAATTCCTTCTTCGACTTGATTGTTTCTGATTCTTTCTTGGATGTACCCATGTTGATTCCATTAACGGATGTACATCGCCAACTTTTCACAAAGCCAACAATCCGGAGCACGACATACAGTACCACCGCCACGATTGCACGAGCTATGCCGGGATGCCACAGGGACTGGGGATGATTTGGAAATGGATTGATGGTCAGCAGCAGATGCGACTGGGATACGGCACTCGGCACTCGGCATTCGACTTCTCTCTCGTGACGGAACAATCGTTGGTTCGGGGAATCGAGACCTGAAGAGGCTTTTTACCCCAAGGTGGTACTGTATCTCTCTCTCCGTGCGGGTAGCAATCGTATGTTTTTCTTATGGTCATCTGTACTCGTAGTCCCGGCATGTAGTATGATAAGACCATTGTAACGGCTCCACCAACACCCCGCAGTAGTGTAGACACTAGGCCAGAGTATCCGGGGACCGGGGATGGGTCTGGAAGTCGGTCTTGTGCTCGGAACTGTATTCGGTACATTGTGTATTTTGTATGAATGACGTAGGCGCCTTCCCTCGGAACAACTGTAGACCAGATTTTATTCCTGTCTGTGCACGGTGAATTCTGACATCTCCCAGTTTCAAAGGTGACCCGACCCTTAAGGTCAACTCGAACATTAGGCAGAATCATGAGGGTAAGACAATCTTATCGAACCTTCTCCGCATTCTGAACTCACGAAGCTGTGATAGCGGATCTCTAAATTAGGCCTAGCGTTTACAACAATGGTAAGGCGCATAATTACTCGCTTGGCGTCCTGCTTATCGATAAGCTCAGTCCAGCATGCAAGTATGAATAGGTAGGAAAAAGACGCTTTACTTAATCGGCTTTGTCTCTCCTTTCAACCTCATACCTACTGTGCTTTGGGGTTATGCTCACACGCTATCTTCCTCGAGATTCATGCTAACCTTCTTGAGCGGCTCAGTACATACGATGCAATAGCGAAGTATCAAATCTTACCAGCGATAGTGCCTCATCTCGTATCTCATACCCGCGAAGCCTGATACAAAATGTACAGTACCGCGAACATTAGCCTTCGCAAGGAAGACACGCACCGTTATAAACATTCTCTAAGACATATCTAAAACTAATTATCTCCAGTGTGTCGAATCCATTGGTCGTCGGTCCTCATGTGTCTTTCTCCTCAGTGGCTCTCAGGCCAAGACCGGAGCGCAGAGTGGCTATGCTGCCATTCAGCTCGCGCGGCTGATCAGGCTGTCCTCACTCCTTCACCCACACAGTCTGTTCCTCCATACAATACCATGCCACTTCATTTCTGCCAGCAATCATGTCTGACCCAAGAGTCTATACCGTGGGTTGGATCTGCGCCATAAGCACGGAGCACGTTGCTGCGCGAGCATTTCTGGACGAGATACACGAGGGACCCGGAATATTTGTCTCCGAATGACTGCAACGATTACACCTTGGGCAAGATTGGTAGACATCATGTCGTCATCGCCGTCTTACCCAATGGTGAGTATGGTACAGCGTTCGCAGCGAGTGTCGCACGGGATATGCTACATAGCTTCCCCAATCTCAGAATTAGTCTGATGGTCGTGGTCGGCGGCGGTGCGCCTAGCGTCAAACATGACATCCGACTCGGGGATATCGTGGTCAGCACTCCACGCGATGCAACGGGGGCATATTCCAGTATGACTTCGGCAAGACGATTCAAGACCAACGGTTCCAGACAACGGGTTTTCTAAGTCAGCCGCCAATGGCTCTACAGACGGCGGTGAGCGGCCTCAGGAGTCAGTACGAGATCTAGGGGCATGCCATCGAAGCGAAGATCGAGAAAATTCTTGAACGAAAGCCGAGGCTGCGCAAGAGATATTAGCGGCCTGCCCCGGATCGCGACAGGCTATATCAGAGTCGAGTTGTCCATGATTCAGATGATGATTGCGATTGCGCTGATATCTGTGGCAATCATCCATCGAACTTGGTCGCGCGGCGCCGACGGTTGGAGGACGAGGATAACCCGGCAGGACATTACGGCCTGATTGCTGCCGCAAATAAGCTTATGAAGGATGCGTCTGTTCGGGATAAACTTGCTGCGGAAAAGGACGTGCTGTGTTTCGAGATGGAAGCAGCGGGGCTGATGAACCACTTCACCTGTTTGGCCATTCGTGGTATATGTGACTACTCTGACACACGCAAAAATAAGGAATGGCAAGGGTATGCCGCCATGACAGCAGCCGCATACGCAAGAGACCTTCTTGACCGGATTCCTCCCAGCCGAGTCGAACGTGAGAAGAAAACCAGCGAGCTTCTGCCTATGTGTCAGTTAGATCTTGTCTTTCTGCTTGAAACTTGCTTGTGTGTCTCTATCAGGGACGAGGTACTGATTCTACCTTCTAATTTCGGCTCAACTTGAAACCATAGCGGACAGTATCAGTGCGGCCAGTCATGCAATCGTCTCTGCTCAGGAAGGTACCTAGAAGTCTTCTCACCACAGACTTGGATTTAAGGCTGAGCTACATAGGATTGGTCTATGATAAAGTCCTGTTCTGGATCTCACCATTGGATTACTCCGCAAAGCACAACGATATTCTCGGAAGACCGTGCGCTAATACCGGGTCGTGGTTGTTATGCCCTCCTGCATTCCGACGCTGGGAAGATACCCCGAACCAGACATTATACTGTCCTGATATCCCAGGGGCTGGGAAGACAGTCCTCCTCTCGGAGCCGGGCCTTGCCTTTCTTTCGATGAGCTTCGCCGCTGGAGAAAAACCTATGTGCTTTCCAATTACGCTGCAAGAAACCTCCGCAAGCATATGTTGGACGTACAGAACCAAAGAACGGTCGAGTCGGCATTCAAGCTTTTCCAGAACAAACGTACAGTATCCAGCATTGCGCAGACTCTATTCGTTGGAGAACGTGGAGTCGGCGTACATGACTTTCCCGGCGACTTCCTGGGCATACACTACGCATCATACCTGGGGCTTGCAGATGTTGTCGCCGATTGCTAGACCAGAATAGAGCAAAGCTAGACGTGTCAGACTCTTATAGACGTACACCACTATCCTGGGCAGCAGAGAATGGGCACGAAGCCGTGGTCAAATTACTGCTGGACAGGATGGATCCGGCATACTTGGAAGTCGATGCCGACTGGACATTGGTCTCGAACAGCGATGCAAGAGATGTCCATGAGTTCGAGCTAGATACCTACACACTCTGTACGACGGGGTCTTCACCAGACGCAGCAGACATGCTTGGCTGGACACCATTATCGTGGGCCGCCAAGGAAGGACACGAAGGAGTAGTCAGAACCCTTCTCGCGAAAGGTGCTACACCAGACCTGGCAGATGCCATGGGCCGGACTCCCTTGTTCCTGGCTGCAGAGGTCATCCGAACGCTCCTCGAGTACAGTGTCGCCGAACTGGACGCGGCAGATATGCTGGACCAGACACCGCTGTCCAGGGCGTCCAAGGAGGGGCATGTAGCGGCGGTACGACATCTACAAGATGAAAGTGCTGCTGTGCATCCAGCGGATGTATAGACCGGACCCCACTGTCTTGGGCGGCCATAAAAGGACATCAAGCCGTGGTCAGGGCCCTGCTGAAGAAGGGTGATGCTGTCACCACGGTGGATCGATTCGGCGACACGCCTCTGTCGCTGGCCGCAGAGGGAGGCTCGCCAGCTGTATTCAGTATACTCTGTGAGTACGGGGCTACGCTGCCAACCTAGGTAATTGATTACTATGTCATTGAATCGAGAAGGTGATAAACAAGGCATAAGTGGTTATAACCGTATCTGTATGTATAGTGCTAGCGGTCGATAAGGTCTGGCAAGAATCTTAGGACAGCGGGCGAAACTCGGCGCTGAGAGTGGTTTTTGCCATACCGCCTCCGTGTACGCGGCAGAATTAGTTGTAGACCACGGGCGAAAGCCGGCCGTCGAAACTGTTCTTTTTGTTACCGCCTTGCGCTTGCGGTGGCAGAATTCTCACCACGGGCGAAAGTCGGCCGCTGGAACTGTTCAATCCCTGACCGCCCTCCCAAAAGAGGCAGAAATCCAATGCACCGCCTGGCTCTTATCTTATCGCATCATCCTTCTCATCCACTCTGACTCCGCAACACCGAGGAAGTCAACTCACTTAATCAAAGGCATTGTCTCTCCTTTCTTCCTTCACCATATCTTTCCCTACCTCAAGATTTCAACCTCACCCACCAATCCTCCGGACCTTCTCTTCAAACCCCCATTTAGATATCGAAATCCCAAACCAGCCCCCCTTCAAAATGCCACCCTCGGGAACCCCCCTCAAACTCCTCTGCCTGCACGGCTACACGCAATCGGGCGCCCTTTTCCACGCCAAAACCCGCGCCGTGATCAAGCACCTCACCAAAGCCCTGAGCCCCACCTACACCGTGACGACGGCCTACCCGACGGGCCCGCACCGCCTCTTGCCGTCTGACATCCCGGGCTACGAGCCCCCGACCACGCAAGGCGGGATCGCGGCCACTGACGAAACCGAGGACGACCCCGAAGCCTACGGCTGGTTCCGCCGCTCCAACACCGCCACGCCCCCGCTGTACGCGGGCCTGGAGGAGGGCCTCACCGCGCTGGCGCAGGTCATCCGGGAGGAAGGCCCCTTCGACGCGGTGGTGGGGTTCTCGCAGGGCGCCGCGATGGCCGCGATGGTGGCGTCGTTGCTGGAGACGGGCCGGTTGCAGGTGTTTGAGGGGCTTGAGGATGCGGAGAATGCGTGCCAGGGGACCGAGTTTACTGGGGTGGAGGGGTTTAAGGTGCCGGAGGCGTTGAGGGCGGTCTTGGCGGAGGGTGGTACTGAACAGGGGGGGAGGCAGAGGCAGGGCCCGTTGAAGTTCGCTGTGTGCTATAGTGGGTTCCGCGCGCCCGGGCCGCGGTATCGCGCGTTCTATGAGCCGGGGATCAAGACGCCCGTGTTGCATGTGCTGGGCACGTTGGATGCCGTGGTCGATGAGGGGCGGAGTCGCGCGTTGATTGAGGCGTGTTTGGGCGATCCGGAGGCCCAGGGGAGGGTGGTCTTCCATCCCGGTGGGCATTTTGTGCCGAGTCAGCGGCCGTATTTGGATGCTGTGGTGCGGTTTATCAGGGAGGTTTTGGAGGCGGAGGATGGGGGCACGAAGAAGGGGGTCATGGATGAGGATGTTAATGATATGGAGTTGCCGTTTTGAGTTTATGCGCTAAATAGATGTTGGGGGTGTATAGAGAGTGAAAGCGAGTGTGTGAGAGACTACTGTAGATCATCGTTCATACCATTCCTAATCTAACGTCGGGTTTCTCATTGTACATTGTTCACCGCAATTTCAACGAGCCTTTCCCTTCTCGCCCCGGGTGGGAAGGATCCGAGCCATCATCTCCTCCTTGGTGATAAGGTGGTCAATCCGCTCCAACAGTCCCAACAGGCTCTTCATGTCGCTGCTCCACTCGTTCAGCACGTCGTCCGCGTCGCGCGGCTTCGAGAAGTTGACCAGCCGCGCGGGACGGTCGATCTTGGCGTAGATCGTCTTGGACGTCACCAGCTCGCTGATGTACTTCTCTGTCTCGTCCTCCGCCAGGTCCAGCAGCTCCGTCAACCGGCCCATCTGGATGCGCGTGTAGTACTTGGCCACCACCCGCACGTTGTGCTCGATCACCCGCTTGCGGAGATCCTGCCACCGCCGGTGGGCCTGGTCGTCCGCCGACTGGCTCGGCTGCGCCTTGAAGACGTCGGTCTGGCACAGGTGCGGGCCGAATTGCTCCGCCACCATCGGCCAGCGCATCAGCTCGTGGATGGTGAAGAGCTTCACCAGGCGGGCCTCGACGGGCACCGACGACAGGCGCGAGTCCTGCTGGATCCGGTGCAGGAGGTCCGACTGTTCGTTGTCGTAGGGCGAAAGGACGATGTAATACACGATACGAGCAAGAACCTTGGGCAACAACTGTTAGCAGGATCACCCAAAGGATGCGTGAGGCCAAACACGTACTGCGTGAAGCTGCTCGGGGTTGTTCTGGACCGAGTCCGTATCCAGCACCTCACGGTAGTGCTTGCACACGTCCAGGTATTTGTAGTCGTGGTTGGCGAGGATGATCTGTTGCTCGTAGTAGCGCAGCTTCAGGTCGGTCACATCGTCGTCCACCTCCATGGGCGGCTCATCGGGCTGGCGGGTCTTCTCCCGCTCCTCGGCCTCCTTCTTCAGCTTCTCGATCTCCTCGGCGCTCTTCTTCGGCTTGCGGGCGAAGTACCGCTTGTTGATCTTGCGGCTGAGGATCGTGGCTTGCGTCCAGTCACCCCGCTCTATGCACAGGGCCACTTGCTCTAGGATGAACTCTGTCTTCTCTCTTCGGCTCATCGATCCGAATGTCTCTACCTGCAGCTCGCAGAGGATATCAGCGGCGGCCTGGAGGTCGCCTTGGGTCTTCTTGATGTTGGATAGGATACGGGTGACACGGGCGCGCTCGACTTCGACGAAGATCTAGTGCGGCAAGGCGGCAGTTAGCGAATTTGGTTGGGTTTGGCCGGAGGATGATGTGCGGCTGACCTTTCCCTCGGTCACCGTCCGCAGCGTGGAGATGACTGAGAGCTTGACCTCCAGGTTGGGGGTCTCGTCCAGGAATCCCATCACCACCTGTACCATCTTCGTTATAGCTTGTTTGAGCTGGCCATGCTTCTTCGAGAGCAGCAGCACTTGGTCGTTCAGGAGGGTCCAGTCACCGGAGTTCTTGCTGATTGTGACGATTGTGACGATGATGCGGGATGTGGTGGCCAGATCGGAAGCCTGGAGATGGGCTGGTTAGACGCGGACTTGTCGCCGCACGGGGGCAAGGAGGGTCGCACCTGTCTGGCCTGCTTCTCCAACACCAGAAGCTTGTCAATGGCACCTTGCACATCGGTCTGTAGACGGTCAGCGTTCTGTGAGCTCCAAAGCGATGCTAGTGCGCTGACCTTGGCAAGCTGCTCTGCCTCGGGGATTAGCTTGTCAGCATCCTTGGAGAAGTCCTTCTCCGGCTTCAGCAAGGTTTCGGACATGGTGACGAGGCGTCACTGTAAGTGGGGAGATGATAGATCTGGAGGAAGGGGTATCTAGGGAGTATTGGGCAAGGTCACACAGAGAGGACGTGGATATGGGTGAGAAGATGGGGATGGGAGAATATATGGAGGCGGATTGTTCAAGGCATGGATGGACGGGCTTCGGAGCTCTGACGTGCAGCTCCCAGCTACGTCACGTGAGTAGACAGTGTCCAGCAACCTCCATCTGAACACGACGGTCGCTGTTGTTGTTTACTCCTGCTACTCTGATGAACAATGTGATTTACGCCAGCTTGATCTCTTGTCTCCTCACTTCTTAATTTTCTTCTCGTTTGCATGAATGTCGCCGGTAAGATAAATGGCACGCATTATATATGGTTGGCTCTCTTGCAAGAGAGCTAACTCCTCACTCAGTCAGCAACTGGACAACCCGAACCTCTCCCTGGACTGTCTGCCTGAGGCTCTGAGCTTCTGGATCAGTTTCCTGCTTTTCCGACATCACCAACTGGTCAAGTCAGGGTCTGCCCAATCCGGTAACTCAGAGTAAGCCGACCGCTTATCTAAGCCAGATTCCGAGCACGCAATCACGCAATATGAGGTTAACCGCATTGGGCGACGAATCTATAAAATCCTCAGGGACGAATGACTGCGACGCCGCGGACATTTTGTGTTTTTCTGTTGTGATTCATATCGCAGATAGTCTTATCGACCATATTTGGCTGGCAGTTGGGAGAATTCGCAGTTCTTATCTCCAGGTTATCACTAGGTAGTCATCCGCTGCGTCGAACATTTCCGCGGAGGTGCACTCTCTACCCTCTCGGATTCCATAAATTGAATCGACCATCCTGAGTCATAGGTTTCAAGAGTGTATCTGAAGAGGTCACGTCGTTTACCCGGTGCTCAGTTTACTCAACTACAATTACCCACTGGAGAAGAGAGAAGTTCGAAAGACACGCCACCCACTATAGCCTGCACTGTCCGCAGTGGCGACTTATCATCATGCGGGATGCATCAGATACCAGCTCCCCCGCGCCGTTGTTGACGGCGGTCAACGTCGAGTCGCAGGTGCATCTGATCATTGGAGCAAATCCGCTGGCTGCGGCTCGATGTGCGAAGAGCGTCGAGGCCGGCGCAAAGCCCATTCTGATCACCCCGGAACCGCAGGAGGGGCTGCAATATACGCTTGTTGAGCGGATCGAGAGTGGTTCCGTGCAGTGGGTTCGCCGGGAATTCCAAGATGATGACCTGACCAGCCTGGGAAGGGAAGAAGTCGACCGCGTGGTTGACACAGTCTTTGTCACTCTCGGCGGAAGTGACCCGCGCAGCGCACACATCTCCAAGCTCTGTCGACGGCTTCGGATCCCAGTCAATGTGTCCGATGCCCCCGAGCTCTGCACATTCACGCTCCTATCCACATACTCTGATGGGCCCTTACACATTGGCATCACGACGTCGGGACGCGGGTGTAAACTGGCGTCTCGCCTGCGGCGCGAGATCTCGTCTTCGCTGCCATCGAATCTCGGAAGCGCCATTGACAGACTGGGCGCCGTGAGGAAGCGGCTCTGGGCCGAAGACCACGCAGCCGGACTGTGTGACACGGCACTCGAAGGTGACGAGGACGACTCCACCGGTCAACGCCATACGTTCAACACCCTAGTGACCGAGGACGACATTTCCGCCGCCAAAACCCGACGCGTGCGCTGGCTCTCTCAGATTTGCGAGTACTGGCCCCTCCGCAAGCTCGCCGCCATCACGGATGCCGATATCGCAACCATCCTTGAGGCCTATTCAGCGGGCAAAGACCAACCCACCAACAGCAGCCAGAACGAGTCAAGCAGTCTGGCCCGACGAGGAAAGATCGTCCTGGCTGGTTCCGGCCCCGGCCACCCAGACCTCCTCACCCGGGCCACTTACAACGCCATCCAAAACGCCGACCTCATCCTTGCCGACAAACTCGTCCCTGCCCCGGTCCTGGAGCTGATCCCGCGCCGGACAGAGGTGCATATCGCGCGCAAGTTCCCCGGGAATGCGGATCAAGCGCAGGAGGAGTTCCTGCAGATGGGGCTGGAGGCGCTCCGCCGGGGCCGCCACGTCCTCCGTCTCAAGCAAGGAGACCCCTATCTGTATGGGCGGGGCGGCGAGGAATTCGAGTTCTTCCGCGGCCAGGGCTACGTGCCGATTGTGCTGCCGGGCATCACTAGTGCTCTGAGCGCGCCGCTCTTCGCAGAGATCCCGGCCACCCACCGCGGGGTATCGGACCAGGTGCTGGTGTGTACGGGTACAGGTCGCAAGGGCGCCGCGCCGGCTCCGCCGACGTACGTGCCAACCCAAACGGTGGTGTTTCTGATGGCGCTGCATCGGTTGTCGGCGTTGGTGGAGTCGTTGACCACTGTGCCAGCAGCGGGTGACGAGAACGATCAGTCGTCGCAGCCGACGCGGACGCCCTGGCCGAAGGAGACGCCCTGTGCGATCATCGAGCGGGCTTCGTGTACGGATCAGCGGGTGATCCGGTCCACATTGGAGCATGTGAGTGCTGCGTTCGAGGCGGAGGGGTCAAGGCCCCCTGGGTTGTTGGTTGTGGGAGCCAGTTGCTATGTTCTGCATCCCGCGCAGGGACAGAAATGGGTGGTCGAGGAAGGTTTCCGGAGCTTGGATGAGTTGTGCTTGGAGACGGGTGGTGGTGTTGCCACTGATGAGAGCCAGTGATTGTGTTGTATGTTGTTATGTCTGTTGCATAGATACCCATAGATGATGTATATGAATGAACCCCTGACGCGGGGATGATAGACCGATGGCTTTCCACAGAAAGATATGCCTTTAACCGACTTCTTTCAACCTCCCACTAGCACTCACTTTTGATTCCCACAATGAACGGTTTCCGGGGGAGAACCCCCGGACCCCCCTTCTTTTCAGCTCCCCAGTAACCCTTAATCCCAATACTTATAATAAGCAATTCCCGGGGGAGAACCCCCGGACCCCCCTTTCTTTCAGCTTCCCAGCAAAGCTCATCTGTAATAAGTATTAAACAGCTCGGGAGGAAGATATAGACAGACATAACAAACACAAAATCTCCATGAACGTGTGCACAAGCCAACCAAACCTACCGTTATGCACAAAACCATGCAAAACAAGCCAGCCATATAGCACATCATGTATACCAATCCACTAACATAGAAACCTAGCAACCTAGCAACCTACCCAACAACCTCGACAGCACCCCTCCTCCCCGCCAGCAACTTCGCAATCTTCTCCCTCTGCGCATTCATCAGCCCCAACTTAGCCCGCTGAATCTTCCCCGTCGCCGTCCTGGGAAGCTCGCTCACAAACACCACCCCGCCGTCCAGCGCCTTATACCTCGCCAGCCGCCCCGCCACAAAGTCATAGACATCCTCAGCGGTGACCCTAGTTGATACTTCTGCCTTCCTCACCACAAACGCCCTCGGCACTTCCGTCCCGCTGCCATCGCCCGCCTGCACCCCGAGCACAGCCGCGTCTTTGATACCTGGGTGCTGGACCAGCACATCCTCGATCTCCGCGGGTGCCACGGAGTACCTGCACACGCACACTCGTCAGCAACGCACGCACATAACCTCCATCTGGATATTTTCTTCAGAGCAGCGGAAAGCAAAGGTTGAGAACCCACCCTCGAACCTTGATAATCTCCTTCACGCGCCCAAACAGATAGTACAGCCCCTGTCTACGAAACACCATATCCCCCGTCCGGAACCAGCCCCCTTCTTCCTTGTCGTTACCCGCAGTGTCAGACCGGTTCTTATACCCTAGAAAGATCCCCGGCCCGCGGACCCACATCTCGCCCGCCGTTTCGTCCGCCGTGATGATGATCTTGTGGTCCTTGGGATCCACGAGCTGCACCTCGACCCCTTCCCCGCGCATGCGGCCGATGCTTGCTTTGTCGTGCACGATATCCGTGGCCGGGGAGAGGAAGACGAGACCTGTTTCAGTCATGCCCCAGTTCTGGGTGACGATGGCGGATGGGTGGGTGAGTAGGGATTGGAGGTGCTCGAGGGCGGGGACGTCGATGGGCGCGGCGGAGACGAGACAGTAGCGGAGGGAGGCGAGGTGAGGTTTTACGGGGAGGGGGGATTGGTTCAGGATGTGCACCATGGCCGGGACGAGGTAGGTGTTGGTGATCTGGTGCGTGTGGATGGCTTGCAAGAAAGCGTGGATCTCGAAGCGCGGCAGGATGTAGACCGGCGAGCCGTAGCGGATCGGGAAGATGTGCGTCCACACGGCGCCGTAGAGGTGGTGCATTGGGATGGTGATCAGTCGGCTTGTTGGGTGCGGGGAGGTGTAGTGGCTGCTCAGGTGGTGGGTGATCATGTTGGTGTGCGTTAGGATGGCGGCTTTGGGGAGTCCGCTTGTTCCGCTGGTGCAGAACATTGAGGCTGCCGTGATGGGTGCTTGGGCTGCGGTGAGGGAGGTCCAGGGGCTAGTGCCGTGGGTTAGGAGGGTGGTTAGGGGGATGGGTTGGGGGTCTGTGGTGGTAATCGGTGGCTCTTGGGTCAGGGTGTCGGGGCTGTGGAGGAAGGTCAGGATGGTATCTTCGGAGAAGACGCAGACTTGGTTCGCTGAGATGCCTCGCGCAGAGGTGACTTCGAGCACGGTTGTGAGGGTTGCGCTGGTGGTGATGATCAACTTGGGCTCGCCTGCTTTGAGCACGTTGTCCAGTTCAAGCGGTGGACTGTCGGGTCCGGCGCCGATGTAGACATTCCCTGCTCCGAGGATGCTGAAGAATAGGGCTGAGTGGGCAAACTGGCGGAGTGATCTGGCTGTCAGTTACGAATCCAGGCAGTTATACAGGCTGTCTGGTATACTCACGCTGTTGCCCAGGTGAACCAGGACCGCATCCCCGGGCTCGACATGGCGTTTCAATCCGGCCACCAGGGTCTGCACGAGATGCTTGAGTTGATAAGCATTCAAACTGCGCGAGGGATCGCGAGCGTCGATGTATAGAGGTCGGGTCTGGTCGTACTCGACCGGACCGTTGAAAGCGAAAGACACTACATCCATGTTTGCCTTGACACTGATTGAATCTGCCGTGAAAGGAATGCATGTGCAATGGCTGCTTTAAAGCCCTCGATATCTACTGTCGCTTGCATTCTGAAGGCTCGGCTATTCAGCCTTGGGCTTACTCGAGACCAATTGGGGGATTCGCCCCCGAAGCGAAGAATGGGCTGCAGAAGTCAGATGCATTGTCTATGAGATCGAGGAGAAAAATCAAAATCGAAAAAGAATGGTGTCCTCACACCAACCGTTATCTGTCACACCAATCGAGGCCGACTCGTGCTGCTTGGTGGCTGAAGTTATTTGGAAGGATGAGAATGGAAGCAAGTAAACTAGGGCTGTACGCAGCCAGCCACTGTCACTTGCCCCCCTCTTTCTCCCACTACTTAGTCTGGCGATTGTTTGCTACTAGGCCTAACAAGTCTACCAAGCAGGTAGGTCGCAAATTGTTACCTGAATCATCATTAGCGAACGCCTCCGACCAAGAAGCATCTGGACAAACCCCGCCGGACAATAGGCAATGAACAATGCGATCCAGCTTATTCCGAGAAGAACTCGATCCTGAGCTGACGCTACGTCAGTCGTCAGTAACCGCAAGGATTGCGTTCCTTTTGCAAGATCTCGTGTTATCAGCTTGGCTTATAGTTCTATTTTACCCCTCGTGTTGGCGTTGGTGTCGGAACAATTTCCCCAATCGGCCCGGCTGATTGGAAACTGGGAAGAAAGAAGACCATCACAAGCTGTCTCAGCCTTCTCAGTTCTCACGCGATGGTGAGAGGGGCTTCTGGGGCTTTGACATCGTCCGGGACTGAGTCGAGGGCAACCCCGCCGATGGTGAGGGGAGCAGTCAGTACCAATCCCGTTCGTGCTAAGGCTGCCACTAATTTAGTACAGTGTATTCCGTACAGTGCAGGGACGGGACTCTTCTGTAGGATGGTCATCACTCACTCATCACTCACTTCTGCGGTAACTAACAATGCGCAATGCCACTGTCCATCCTCGCAACAGATAGGCGTCCAGCTTGCACCTTTCCTTGGTTTCAGCTATGATCCCCTCGCCCCCACTCAAACGAGGCTGTTCATTGCCCGGAGAATGATGACTCCTTTGGTAGCCAGAATGCCTTGAGGTCGTGTCTAAGCGAGATGGGTATACTTCCCGCGACAGCCTGCTGCTTGCTGTATGCAATGTGCAGACCAGGAGGGCAACTTATATCGATTGGTTGGTAGAAGGCAGGACAGACAGAATGAAGGTTGAGAAAATGCCCTTAAATCCACGCTGGATCGACTCCTTGATTCTCAGAATCTGTTCGTGTCTTCTTTCCATACACCTGGTTTGTGCCAGTACTGTACTTCCCACCTCTAGAGGCTGCGAGGCATGCCTTCCGTTCCCGAACCGATTGCCATTATTGGCACGGGCTGCCGCTTCCCAGGCTCAACTTCTTCCCCTTCCAAGCTCTGGGACCTTCTTCACTCTCCTCGCAACCTCTCCACCAAGACCCCCAGCGATCGCTTCAACCACGATGCTTTCTATCACCCAGAGATCCATCACGGTACGGGGAACGCCCCCGAATCCTACTTCCTGTCCGAGAATATCCAGCAATTCGACGCTTCCTTCTTCAATATCTCCCCCACCGAAGCCGAGGCCATGGATCCTCAGCAACGGCTACTGCTGGAGGTAGTCCACGAGTCCCTGGAGCGAGCAGGACTACGCATAGAGACTCTGCAGGACTCAGACACGGGCGTCTTCTGCGGCCTGATGAACACAGATTACTGCAATATTATCACGAATGACTGGGACAATATCCCGACCTACACTTCCTCTGGAGGGGCTGCTTCTATGCTATCTAACCGCATCTCCTTCTTCTTTGACTGGCATGGCCCCTCCATCACCATTGATACCGCCTGTTCGTCGAGTCTGGTTGCCATGCATCAGGCGGTGGATGCGTTGAGAAAGGGCGATTGTCCTGTCGCCGTCGTGGCTGCGAGTAACCTGATCCTCAGCCCGCGGGAGTATATCGCCGCCTCCAAATTGCGGCTGCTGTCACCGACGGGTCGGTGTCGAATGTGGGATCGGGATGCCGATGGGTATGCCCGGGGAGAGGGCATTGCTGCGGTGGTCTTGAAGCGGCTGAGCGATGCAATACGGGATGGTGATCCCGTAGAGAGCATCGTGCGTGCGACGGGGGTCAACGCGGATGGCCGCAGTATGAGTCTGACCATGCCCTCGTGGACGGCCCAGTCGAGGTTGATTCAGTCCACCTATGCCAGCGCTGGCCTGGACCCTAAGAGTCGTCCGGAGGATCGGTGTCAGTACTTCGAAGCCCATGGAACTGGGACCCAGGCTGGCGATCCTCAGGAGGCAACGGCAATATACGATGCCCTGTTCGAGGGTAGATCCCGACCTAAGAACCCTCTGTATGTGGGCTCTATCAAGACGGTCATCGGTCATACGGAGAGCGTGGCGGGTCTGGCTGGCGTTATTAAGGCATCCCTCTGCGTCCAGCATGGTGTCATTTCCCCGAACATGCACTTCAACCGCATCAACTCCAGCATCGCACCCTACACTACTCATCTGCGAGTGCCTACTGAAGCGGTACCATGGCCTACTCTCGCTCCCGGCGTTCCGCGGCGAGTCTCGGTCAACTCCTTTGGGTTCGGCGGCACAAATGCACATGTCATTCTCGAGAGCTATGCCGCTCCGATGCCATATCTGCCAAATACACTCTTACCCCCGTCATTGCCACTCGTCTTCTCCGCAGCCACAGAGAAGTCTTTGACACACCTACTTCACCGACACATTGAATACATACGAGAACACCGTGAGACCGACCTCATTACCTTAGCAGAGTCTTTGATGCATCACCGGTCTCTTATGAGCCATCGTCTCACCCTGACAGCATCCTCACTCGGCGATCTTGAGACCAAGCTCCAGGCAGAGCTCGAACATCGTAGCTCAGTTGAGACCACCGCCAAGCACCGAGCGATTTCCCAGGGAGTTTTTGGAATATTCACTGGCCAGGGTGCACAGTACCCGCAGATGTTCTGGGACCTCATATCTCGAAGCTCCCAAGCCCTACAATGGTTAGAAGAGCTGCAAGAATCACTGGCCTCCCTTCCGCCGCAATATCGCCCTGACTTCTCGCTAGCACAAGAACTTTCGGCCCCTATAGATACCTCTCGGATTCATGAGGCCCTAGTATCACAAACCCTACGAGCTGCCATTCAAATCATTCAGGTCAATCTGCTCCGCGTGTTGGGAGTAGGTTTTTCTGCTGTTGTTGGACATTCCTCCGGCGAAATCGCCGCAGCCTACGCAGCTGGCGTAGTCTCAGCATCGGATGCAATTAGGTTAGCATATTTGCGAGGCTGGGTGACTTATCAAAGCATGGGTCGGGGTGGACAGCCGGGGGCAATGCTAGCGGTTGCGATGTCCCGGAAGGATGCAGTTGCCCTCTGTGAAGATGGTGGATTCAGCGGTCGAATTGTGGTGGCGGCCAGCAACTCTCCCACGAGTGTGACTTTTTCAGGTAATGCGGATGCATTGCAAGACCTGGAATGGATCTTGCAGAGCTTGAGCATTAAAGCACGTTCTTTGAAAGTCGATGCGGCTTACCATTCCCCCCATATGGTGCCTTGTGCTGAGTCTTATCTCTGTGCTGTCAGAGCCTGCGATATCAGGTATCGACCGCCCAATGTGCCGTGGTACTCCAGTGTATACAGTGCAAGGCGCCTCGAGGGGCATGATGTGTGTCATGAATACTGGGCAGAAAATATGCTTCGTCCTGTTCTGTTTTGCGAGGCTGTTCAAACTGTGTTTTCTAGCCTTGCGAGTTCGACTATGTTGGTGGAGGTGGGCCCGCATCCAACGCTTCAGGGTCCGGTTTTGCAGACCCTGTCTGACCTTCAGCAAACTGACACCAAGCTGCCGTCTTATGTCAGTCTCGCTCATCGGGATAGCGGTAGTTTCGACTCTATCGCCAACGCCATCGCGCTCTTCTGGGATCATCAGTTACCAGGCCTCGACACTCGAAAACTTCTCAAACTGTTCGACCTTAATTATGACTGCGGATTCTTGAAAGATCTACCAACCTACCCGTTCGATCATACACGTTCTTACTGGGCTACGTCACGCTTGATCAACGCCCGTTTGCACCGTGCTGACCCACCCCATTATCTGCTGGGGGCACTTAGTCCCGAGACCGCGGAGAATGAATGGCGATGGAGGAACTTCCTCAGTCGGACAGAGCTGGTATGGTTGAATGATCATAAAGTGCAATCTCAGACTATCTTTCCTGCCACAGGCTACATTGTGATGATGCTCGAGGCGTCCCTAGTAATGACTCAAGGACAGTGTTTGCGCTTGTTGGAGATCAATGAAATGCACATCAAGCGCGCCATTAACATTCCAGATAACCCCCAAGGTATTGAAGTCATCTTCAAGGTCGAACAGGAGTCCATGAAGGATCATAAGATTCTGGGCACCTTTACCTGTTATGCTAGTATCGGAGGAAGTTTGAAGGTCTGCGCTTCGGGGAGAACCACGCTCTCTCTGGGCGAAACAGACGCAATGGCGCTGCCTCCACGACGAATGCCAACGCCATTCACAAGACCGTTGGACATCGACAATCTCTATGCCGGCTTGGAGAATTTTGGTTTGGAATACCGTGGTGCGTTTCGTGGCCTCAAAGCTGTTGCCCGCCAATCGAATGGGTCGACAGGTGTCGTCTCCTGCAATGACACATCATCATCAACTCTGCATCCAGCGGTCATGGACTCTAGTCTTCATGTACTGCTGGCTGCTGTAAAGCTACAGACACCAAGTGTGCCTGTACATTTAGAGCGCGTTATCATGAACCCATTACTCTGCCGAGCAAACTCGTTGAACGAAAGCAGAGATCTGATTGTCGATACTGTTCTTCTTGAGGATACGGTCGACGGAGCGAAGGCGGATATCCACACCTACAATTGCGAGGGTCAAGGTGTCTTTCTCATCGAAGGGTTTCAGGTCGCTCCGCTCGCCGTCCCTGATGATCGCAACATCTTCTCTGAGATCATCTGGGGACCGCTTGTGCCTCATGCGGTGCCAAGCAAGACTGGCGCAGACTCAGAGACCGAATCGAACTTGTATTGTGCGGAGCAGTGTGCTCTGCTTTACATAAAGGATGCCTGGGAGAAGCTGACAGCCCGGGACTATGCGCGGATGGATCCTGATTGTGGAGGTGTGATAAAGTGGATGGAAAGGGTCTTACATATGACTCGTGATGGCACTCATCCCATCTATCAGCCTGAGTGGTTGGATGCCACCACCGACGAAGTGCTGGAGATTACAGATGTAACAAGCCCAGGTTGGCACACCTTGCGGATGGCTGGCGAGAACTTGTCCAGCATGCTGCAGGAAGCCTTTACCCCTCAATCGCTCCGTCACGGCAATGATGACTTCGAATCTAGAAGGTTGTATCTAGATCCTTTTGAGAGCGACTCGAGCAGCTCGGAGCTTGCAACCTTTGTTGAGCAGCTGGTTTTTCGCTTTCCTCAAGCGAAAATCCTAGAGCTTAATGCAGGAAGTGGATCAACAGCAAGATCCGTGCTCAATAAGATTGGCAGCTCTTACCAATCATACACCATTACAGACACATCAGCAATTCGGCTCTCAGCGGCATATGAGATGCTCGGTGGCGATGATAACACCAAACTGATCTTGCAACGACTCGATGTTGAAGAGAACTTGGTTGAACAAGGCTTTGGGAATGAAAGCTATGATATAATCGTCGCTGCTAACGCTCTGTCCCAAACCCAGAGGCTTCGTGAGACTATGGTGAATGTCCGGCGCTTGCTCAAACCTGGTGGTTATCTAGTTGTGCGGGAAGGAACTAACCTCGATATCAGTCGTGTTATGCTGGCACATTGTGGCACTGAAAAGTGGTGGCATGATGACGGCGCCATTCGCCAGTGGTGTCCAATTTTGAGTATCCAGGATTGGGAGAAGCTGCTTCAGCAGACTGGTTTCGGTGGTTTCGAGGCAATCTCACCAGCCAATGAACTTGAGTTTTATTCGACATTTGTCTCGCAAGCTACCGATGAGGCAATCATGCTTCAGCGTAACCCATGGACGTTCTCAGGCCGCCTTAACAACGATGTTTGGATTGTTGGTGGTGCAACAAACGCAACTGCGAGTCTTGTATATGGGCTCGAGACGCTTTTGGCTCGCTTTTTCTATCGTGTGGCCGTTGCATCGACACTGGAGGTGCTGGATCAGCAAGACCTATCCAGATCACATGTCCTAGTCTTGACGGATCTCGATTTTTCTTGTTGCAAAGACTTTACAGAAGAGCGTCTGGGTGGACTTAAGGCGCTAATGAATCATGCCAACAGGCTCCTCTGGGTGACTGCCGGACACGAGAGCCAGGATCCATACTGGGCGATGGCCAAAGGCATCATAAACTGCGTTGCATACGAGAACCCGCAGCTCCTCTGCCAATACCTGAATGTTCCTGACCGAGCTGAGATTACTGCACCGGGATTAGCTACGATCTTCCTGCGACTGTCTCATGCCACTAAAGACAATGACTTCACGCTGTCAGATCGCGTGCATAGCATTGAGCCGGAGCTAAGGCTCGTCAATGGCAGACTGCAAATTCCGCGATTTCATCTTAGCGACGCAATGAATACTCGGTACATAGCTGGTCAGCGCAGAGTGAACGGGTATGCCAATTTGCATCAATCAGTGGTCCAAATCATTCCGCCTTCAAATCGGCGTCGAGAATTCGTTTTGTGGGAGAGAGTAGGCAGCAAGGGTGACGGCTGTCGAGATACCTCTCATCGGCGCTGGCTTGATGTGAGCTATTCCACATTGAACGCTTATCATGTGGAAGGTGCTGGATACCTCTATTTAATGATAGGCCGCGATACGAGTGACCAGACACGTTGGTTTGCCCTATCATCGCAGCAAGCTTCGTTGATCTCCGTGCCTCTGAGTTGTTGCTTCCGGATGCCGGAGCATCTCCCAGAAGCTGTGGGGCCCCCATTTCTGGACAGGATGGCTGCAGCAATCATGGCCATTGCTGTACTGAGCTCCGGAATACCTGACACGTCGGTACTGATTCATGGGCTTGAGTCGAGGGGCAGATTGAAACAAGAAGCGTTCACGGCTCTGGGTGCTGCGCGAGAAATGCAAGTCTATTTCACCACCAACGATTTGGCTGCATCATCGGAAAAGCACTCGTTGTACATTCATAATAATGAATCAGTGCGCTCTCTTGCACGCATTTTGCCTTCTGATCTGTCTATCATTGCTCAACTTGAAGAAAGCAAGCCTGACTTGTTCTCTCGAATCGCAGCCGTTGTCTCGGAGGATGTTGCTGAAGTTAAGCTGACAAACGTATGTCGAACATCTTCGAGCATCACGAGGCACAGCAATCCAGTTGCTACGAGCAAGACGTTCCTGAGCGCATATGGGTTTGCTTTGCAGGCATTTGAGGCAAACGAAGCGATTGATCTGGTTTCTATTCGTGACATACACGGCATGCATACAGATCTTTCTCGTCAAGCAATCGTGGATTGGACTATGCATGATCAAATCCCAGTCGAAATTCAGACGGCAAGTTCGGCGGTAAGACTATCACCAGACAAAACATATCTCCTTGTTGGGATGACTGGGAGTCTGGGTCAATCGGTCTGTCGATGGATGATTCATCGAGGTGCGCGGTGTGTGGTCATGAGCAGCAGATTCCCCAAGGTTGACCCTCTTTGGGTTGGGGAAATGGCGAGCTTGGGGGCTCGCGTAGTTCCACTCACAATGTCAGTTGTCGTAATCATTCTCGCTAATAGCGACTGACCAGATAATTTAGGGACGTCACAAGTCGCGCATCAGTGACTTCTGCATACGACACTCTTTCTGCCCAGTTACCACCGGTAGGGGGGGTCATTAATGGCGCGATGATACTCAAGGACCAGATATTCGCCAATACCAACCTTTCAGATTTTCAATCAGTACTCAGTCCCAAGGTGCAAGGAAGTCTTCTTCTTGATGAGGTATTTGGCCACCTCGACCTGGACTTTTTCATCCTTTTTGGGTCAGCCGCCGGACCGATGGGCAACATCGGCCAGGCAGCCTACTCAGCAGCCACTCACTTCATGTCTGCGCTTATCCAGCGGCGACGCGAGCAGAATCAAGTGGGAAGCATCATCCACCCGGCATCGATCGAGGGAGTCGGCTATCTTGCCCGAGCGGGTCTTGCTCTGCATGACATCCTTGAGAAAACAATGGGAAGTAGCAGCTCACAACTGTCTGAAAATGATCTGCATGAACTCCTGGCGGAGGCGATACTTGCTGGACGGATTAAAGAGGGCAGAAATGCAGATATTATCGCCGGATACGAGTTTGTGAATGCCGCCAAAAGTCCTGACACACTATGGTTCCGGAACCCAAGGGCATGGGGCTTCATTGATCAGAGTGGACGCCCCTCTGGAACATGTGTCCGTAACGACAACGTGGAGATGAAAGTACAGTTGAAGGCAGCCAATGGCATCGAAGACGCAATAGATATTATTACTGCGGGTTTCATCGAAGAGATTCGTATGAGGCTGCGTCTTCCCGATGAGGATTGCGTGACTCCTGGCAGTGTGCTGAGCGAGATGGGGGTGGACTCGTTGATGGCCATTGGGTTGCGGCAGTGGTTTGTGAAGGAGGTCGGGGTTGAAATTCCGATGCTGCGATTTCTAGGCGGGTCATCTATTGGAGAGCTGGCTGGTGTTGCTGCGGTACGACTTGCTGAAGATAATGTCTTCAAGGGCGAGGAGGTTTACTTGAATAAGGGCGATGAGGCTGTTTTGGAGTCGCAGACGGAGCAAGAGACGAGTCTGGTTGATTGGGAATCAGGTGAGTCCGGACTCAGCATGTCCTTGTGAGGATTTATACTGTGGATTAAGTTCTGTTGTGAGCCCTCGATACTATCCTCCTTATACAAGATGTACTGTACTATACATATTCTTCAAAAAACTAGCAGCAGAATACCAGCCATCACGGAGAGAGTATATCACTTTACAGTATGACTAAAAGAGTAGAGATTCTTAACCAACATTTCCAGCGTAATATACACACAACGCCCTAATTCCACAACAACAACAACAACCCTCACACCCTCCCCTCCCACCTCACAGCATGCTTAACCTCCGCCCCCTCCATAAACTCCTTGATCCTTGCAAACTCCTTAAACCCCTCCGTCTCCGCAAATTCAAAATGCCTCTCGACGGCCTCCCACCCACTAAACAGAACATACTCCGCTGCTGCCCCGTCATCTGTATCTGCATCGGCACCCCCCGCAACCCGTGGAGTCTCAGCCCACCCGCCCACCAGCGGATACGGGGCCGTGAACGCCTCAAGATACCCCTTGCCCGCCTCAAACGCCCGCTGGAACTCGGCGCGTTGGCCGGGACGAACGAAGTACCGGCCGATGGCGAGGACGGGGGCGGCCAGCGGAAGGGTCGGCGCTGGGAGGTCGATTCTTTGGGTGGATTTGTGGGTGATTGTGATTTTATCTTGGGTTGCGGTGTTGATACCGAGGATGTTGGGGCTAGCGGTGGGGTCCTCGTGGAGGAGGTAGATGGTTTTTGGGTCTTCGAGTTGGGTGTAGATTGTTGTTTTGGGGAGGTTTGTGAGGTGGTTGTGGAGGGGGTGGGATGTGGGGAGTGCGGTTGCGGTTGCGGTTGCGGTTGAGCTTGAGCTTGAGGGTGGAGGGAGGGGGGTGGAGAGGTGTAGTTGGGTCAGGGTTCTGGCTTGCATTGTTGGAGGTGAGGTTTTTGTCCTGTTTGGTGGTGGCGGTTGTTGTGGTGGTTGTGTGAGTTGAATATGGGTATGGGTATGAGTCTATATAGGTATAAGTATAGGTATGGGTGGTTTGGATCGGGGGCTTTTATGCTGAGGAACTGCGTTTCCACGTAGGGGATGAGGTGAGTGCTAAGACATGGCAAGCATAGAATCCCCAGGCTAACGCAAGTATAGTAAGACTCAAATTCCTGAACTAATGAACTGAGCTGAGCTGAGCTGAGCTGAGCTGAGCTGAGCTGAGGATGATACCAATTTCCCAGTTGGGCTGCGCTATACTTCCAGTCACCCTGCAGAATGCATAGATAGTGGATAGGGATGACTCAGCAGGATCATCACTCTCGCATAATCCCTCCCCACTAAGCCCAATCGAGGTCCCTCCCTCTCCCTCCCCTACGATGATGCCGATGGCAACTTCATCTGACGCCATACTACCACTTCTCTTTCCACCTCATCAACCTCCACCTCACATCCCCACTTTGCCTACGACCACATCAAAAAGCATGGCGCCCGAACCCCGAACCTACGTGTCCGGCGGCCGCGTCCTCGGAAGGTAATCACCACGATATCTCCTTTCTCCATGCCCGTCGGCCCGAAGCACCGTGCTAATCTCCGTCCGTCTCCTCCGTCTCGTCCAGCCCCCCACTCACCGTCCGCGTCAGTCGCTTTTTCGAGAGTGTGTATGTGTTTCTGGGACTGTATCTTGTGAGCTTTTTCTCGGTGAGTCTTTCCCTCCTGATTGCGTCTGGTGTGGTTTGTGGTAGTGGTTGTGAGGGTTGCGCGTTGCTGCCTCCCTTCCGCTAATTTTGATATCTCTGTGTCCTTTGCTGTATTATTTATGGCCAACGGTGTCTAACAATTCTCCTGCGACAGCTCGATCCCTACGCCGCGGCGCAGAACTCGCAGTTCAACATCCATCGCAAGGGTAATCCCTCGGGGCCAACGTCGCGATGGGGACTTTTTGGCGGCGGTGGGAGCGGTGGTCCTGGGGGAGGAGGTGGTGGCGGTGGTCCCGGAGGCGGTCCGAGGGGCTTTGGGCCGCGGAAGATTGGTCGAGTGGATGATGTTCGTGGGCCGGAGTGTAAGAGCTGTGGATAGGGTGTCTTATACAGGAGGGGATAAGGTTATTGGGGGGGAGGGGTGTTGTGGCTGGTTGGGGAGTTTGATATTAGCATTGAGTCTACAAATTCAACTTCTTTTACACTGGTGCTTGGTTTGGGGTTGGATGATATCCCCCCCCCCCCTAATTTTGAGTAGGATGGTGGATTTGGACCGAAGACAGATGGGATGGCGGTTTGATAGTGGGATTGATATTGATGTCGATATTGTATCAATACCGCATCACGTGGAGATTTCTCCGCAACCCCCCTCCCCGCCCCCGCAATTCCACTATTCGATATGTATGTGTATGTTCCATTCCACTGTTTACACCGTCCCATCGGCCTCAGTCAAACCCATCAGTATAGTACTCCCCTGGTTCCTCACTTAGCATCAAACTAACAAGCCACAGTCAACAGACCTACCGTCAACCAACCCCTCACCACAAAACGACCCACCTACATCCCTCCACATCATCTCTTAAACTACCAACCACAACCACAACCAAACCACCACCACCACCATGGCCCCCCAACCCCTGCAACCCCCCCAAACCGACTCCGCCTGGAAAACCCTCATCACCCAAACCATCCAACAGCTCCCATCCCCCACCACATTCCCAACCTACCCCCTCCCCGCGCACCCCTCCCACACAATCGACCACACCCAACTCTCGCCGACCGCCAGCCCATCCCAGATCGACACCCTCTGCACCGAAGCCCAGGCCCACCACTTCGCCACCGTCTGCGTCCGCCTCCCCTACGTCGCCCGCGCCGTGCAGAACCTCTCCAGCAGCAGCAGCAGCAGCAGCACCACCCAGCCCGACACCCCGTCGCTCCCTGGAGCAACAAACTCAGGACCAGGAGTAGGAGTAGGGGTCGCATGCGTAATCGCCTTCCCGTCGGGCCTAGACCCCACGGCCTCGAAGACCGCCGAAGCGGCGTCCGCCGTGTCCGCCGGCGCGACGGAGCTGGACATGGTGCTCCACCGGCCCCTGCTGCAGGAGGGGAGGTACACCGCGGTGTACGCGGACATCCGGGCGGTGCGCGAGGCCGTCCCGGCCGGGGTGGTGCTGAAGGTGATCCTGGAGACGGGGCGGCTGGCGGGGATGGAGGAGGTGGTGGCGGGGAGTGTGGTGGCTTGTTTGGCCGGGGCGGATTATCTCAAGACGAGTACGGGGTTTGACGGGCCCGGGGCCCGCGTGGAGGAGGTGCGGGTCATGCGGTGGGTTGCGGCGCGGATGGGACGGGGCACGCGGGTGAAGGCTAGTGGGGGGGTGAGGGGGGCGGAGGACTGGAGGCGCATGGTTGCGGCCGGGGCGGAGAGGATTGGGAGTAGTTCGGGGGTGGGGATTGTGGTGCAATTGGG